TATCGACTCGTTAGAAAAAGATCATAGTTTCGAAACGGGAATGGCGATCAAATAACCCCCGCAGAATCTCTTTTCCGAAATTCCCCTCATAAACTTCACTATGTTCTCCTCTCTATGCTATCTTCGTATCGTTATTCACCGCTACCCTTCCCTCTCGGCACCCTCTCAGTTTCTCCCCGCGTGCGACGCACGCGTGTGCACACACGTGACAATACCACGACACACCCTAAATATCGAGAAAGTAGATTTCCCGTGTCTTGATATGATTAATGCTCCACTCTCGAGAGATAAAAAGTGAGCGAAGGAAAAGGCGAGGGACGGGAGGAAAACGGCGGAGCGACAGGAGGAGGGCGGCCAAGAAAGTAGGGTAGAAAGAGCAAACAACGGGAAAACAGAAGAGGAGATCGCGATGGAAGATTGGCCGCGAAATGAGAAATAATTTATATCAAAAATGAAATTATCAGTTTTAAGATAAACCGATTCTTTTTTTAATAAGTAAATATAGTATATTACGCGCGTGTGCAATCTTTCTTAGAAATTCTTTAATCGTGCAGAATCTAATTCCTCGCGTATCTATAACGTCCTTTAAATCCATCTCCGAGGATGAGGAATGAGGCGAGAATGTGAAAAAAATATCAGAGAAAAACAAGGGAAGGAAAAGTAAGGCGCGAAAGAAGGGAGAGAGAAGAAACATCTTGGTGGTGGTTGCGAGGGCGCGAAGAGAGAAGGACGCGACGAAGGAAGAACTGCAAGAGTGGTGGTGGAAGGGAAATCGTTTGCAGGGCTGCTGGTGGTCGGCCATCCGTACACTGCAAATCCCCGTCAACCGCATTCAATTACGATGTTATCGCGAATACAGATGACGGTTATTTCCTTCGGTACACCCTATACATAACGCGCGGCCCTACCAAGCCGTCGCTCGAATCAAGGGCCGTAAGGTACTGTGTGTATATACGGCGCACTAACGACTAAACCGTGTGATTGTTTCAGAATGTTTCACAGGACATGCGCCCGCGACTTGTAAATATGAAGTTTGATTTTCACCGATGATATTAAGTGATTTCCGCACTTTCTGTCACGTGGATGTTTATCTCAATTAAAATCATTAATAATCTGACATCTTTATTTAAAAAAAATTGATGTCTAGACAAAAAGGGTCGAAATATTTTATTTTATGAAAAGCTTGTTTTTATTCGTAAAAAAACTTTATCTTAATTTAAAATTTACTTACTTTGAAGTCTTGATGTGTAATCTTCGGAACTTTCTTTCTCTCTCTCTCTCTCTCTCTTTGGTTATAATCTACACGCTTTCAACAATAAAATTCTAATAAACTTTTATGATATACTAGCAAATTATAATTATAAATATATATCTTTTTCTATTTTGCATTTTCTGGTTTTCTGATCTCAATTTTTGAGACGTTTCTCAGTTTCATAATTATTGCGTTATTTCGGTAATATAATTTCAAATTGCACTTTTGATTCGATAAATTTGACTCAAAAGTTAATCCAATCCGATATTACTACTACTTAATGTTTTCAAACAATAAAAAGTAAAGTACGACTACTGGTTATGACCAGAATCTTGTTCGACCGAGACGGATGTACGGTTCATAACCGATGTACTCTCGCGTCCACATCCTGTTTCAATCGTGCTTTTAAGAAAAATGTCTATAAACTTGCGCGCGATACATTCGAAATGTCCCTCTTCATTATATCTGCATCGTGCTCGAAACGACGGGCGTTCCTAGTATGATATAATGTCGATACGAGAGGAACGTCAGTGGAGATGCCTTGAACAGGCAAAAAATGGACCAAGTAGATTAATTGGAGCCTCCCATCCTCTCTTTCTCTCTTTCTCCCTCGTTATCTCTGAAACATGTGTGTGCTAGAAAGAAACAGGCACCGAAAAGAGGAATGAGATCAGAGAGAAAGAAGAGGGGAGTAGAGGGACAAAGGCGGCGGAACGGCAGGATGGCCCGGGGGCGAGCTTTTTGCCGAACACATAATGCATAGCGAAGGATGACACCCTTATCTCATGATCTTTAATTCCGTGAGCCGCCGCGAGGGGGTTACCACCGCGTTGTCATTTGTCGGTTGCACTGCGACGGAATCGGGGGTGGATGAGGAGGAAGGAGGGGGCGGGAAAGAAACGGCGGGGAGAGGACGGACCCGCCGGTCGGGCGGATAAAACCGCCACCGCTGTTAACATCGCCGTCGGATACGAGGGGGGTTGGAAATTGCCTTGGCTGATTTCATTTCGGGCCAGATTATTTTAAGGGGTTCCATTCTCCCTTTCGTTCCTTGGCCCTCCCCCGCTCAAGCCACTGCCGTCCCCGCCTGACGTGATTAATGCGACTCTGGACGCGGCGGACGCTGACGGTGGTGGTAGTGGTGGTGATGGTGGTGGTGGTGGTGGCGGTGGTGGTGGTAGTGGGTATGGCGGTTGGAGGGTCGAGATGACGAGTCGCGGCTACTCGCGCGACGTCGAATTAATTCGCCCGAGCACGCACCGGAAGCGAGCTGAAATTGTTAACCCCTTCCGGTCCGAACGCATTAAAGGTGGAGGATATTATTTTTGATAATATCTTCGCCGGTGAAATACGGATTAAAGTAGCATGGAGGTACGGATTAAAACAACTTCTGGGGGCTGTTCTTATATAAGAATTGATTAAACTGGGGCTTAACGCCCTATCTTCGGACCACATCGCATAATTTATTACGGTGTAAAGTTTATTAACCCAGAAGTGTGATTTTCAACTGGAAAGAATCAATAACGTTACGTGCTTCGATGTAATTACACTGTGTTTCTCTCTTTAATCGCGCAACCAGCGAAATTTATCAAATAAACTCTGAGCGAACAGTTAATCGTAATGCATTTTATTAGATTGAGCGATAGTTTTTTCATTCGGGATATGACGAAAGTAATGGCGATCAATTTATGGCGAGCCGCTCGGCGCACAGCTAAAAATGAAACAATCCATCGAGCGAAACGACCTACGTAACGCAATCGCGGTGGCATAAGTTTCCAGTTATGGGTCTCGCGAGCGCGCCGTAACGGAGCCGCGCGGCGATTTCGGAGGCGCGTATCCGCGAGTTTTAAGGAGTTCCACGTCCCATTATAAAGTCTTCACCGCGCATAATAGCATTCGGCTCCGCAGGCTGGCGGGCATTAGGGAAATCGCGTTTCCACCCTTCTCGTATTAGCTCGACGCCATGCGAGCCGTCATCCTCCCCCGCCCTCGTCCCTCTACCTCCTGTTCTTTTCATCCCCGTAGCACGCGTTGAATGTCACCCTCGATCGGATCGGCGAACTTTCGACTTACCTCGATTTCGGCTTCTTAGCATAGTAGAAAGATGGACCGGGGATGAATGTTCGGATGAGGGAGAGGAGCGAAGGAATTGAAACACGGAGAATGATGTCAAGGTGAAGAGAGGAGAGACGTCCCGAACGTAGAACGTCGCGTAGGATCTGCCGTGGGATATTCGTATTCTTAAAGTCGCGCGACGCGGATCCTCTTGGCTGGAAATGAAAAACACTCTTGGAATACACCAGGTTGTATTTATAAGAATGTTATATTTTCTCGGTAGTAATGGGAGTCCCTCCCCTTCCGTAAAGAGAGAGGGAGGGTCGTTAATATATTAATAGAATCCTAGGTAAGAGTGATATTATATACAGATGAATAAAAAATGGGATCCTACGTGGGAGATAATGTTCATTTCGCTCGCACTGCTCGCCTCTATCGTTTGACCTTTCTCCCTTCGCCATGTCGCGGGATCTTTGTACTAACGCGGTACGACATAGTCGTCGGGCGCTCGATCCGTTGCTCTGCGCGATAAGTTTTACAAGTGTCCAATATAAACTAATTTCCCGTTACGCGCACTTTCTCTCAACTTTCGCATACGTCGCATCAACGGACAGTGATTACCGATAGATTTCGTTTGAATTCAGAATCAGCGCCGACCATTTTAATTAGGTAATTAATAATCCTGTCTCTAAAATGAAATAATGATTCGCAACATATAGATGATTGAGCCATAGTAATATCTATAAGATAAAAAAGAAGTTATTGTGTGTGCGTGTGTGTGTGTGTGTGTGTGTGTGTGTAACGCCTGACGAGAAAAGTGATAGTGTCATAGTTATTTTCGCCAACGCGCGATATTGATGCAACCAGCCGGAAACGAGAGAAAGCCCGGATATACGCGGGAATGAGACGGATCGGTATTTCCGGCGTCGCGGGAAATTGCTCACAGTTAATAGCATTACGAGTTCGCGGTTAATAATGTCGCGGCAACCAATGTGGCAAGAGCGTTTCCCTCGATCTCCTTCCTGCTCCCATACGATTACGAATGTATGCCGTTTGGCGTTCGGTATAGATAAACGCCGTCTGTATTTTTGGCATTAAAGCGTTAAAGCTAAGTGAGACTAAGCCCCTCGCTCTCTGATCCGGCGTGAATTCGCGACTCTCGGCCCAATCTCGCGAAACGTCATCAATTATTTTGGATCTGTTTTATTATCGGTAATAAATCTTTAAAATGGAATGGTGGAAATTATAAAAAGAATTATTATTTTAATTGTACGATTAATAAAATATTTAAAAATAATTGTCTCCGCTTTTTCGTGAGCCGAGGTCTCTGAAAGTTCGTTACACTTCCGCGAGAACTTGCCGGACAAAGCTTACGGAAAATAATTCGCCGTGACGCGCGTCGGGCTGTCTAAAACTGAATCTTTCTGCGGCGCTCGTTCTCCGAGGGGTTCTTAACCTAATGTTTTTAATTAATCTTTGGTATCAGCTGTCGCGAACTGATCTGACTTGCGACGTAACAGAAATTTCACGAGACTAGAAAGCCTCACGAAAAATAATTTAATCGGATCAATGCTACGCGACGATGAAAATTTAATATAAATTTCGATACGATATATTTAATGTTTGCGTTACTCGATCTTTTTCTCCAATTTCCCGAAATATAAAGAGATTATTATCTTACTTCTTTTTTCCCTTTCGTGGGTGCCGCACTTTCGATCGTAAAACGGGAGATCGCAGGATTATGGCACGTGTTACAGAACCCCTCGCGTCCTCTTCGCTAAAAGTTCTCTCCTTTGAATCGGCGCTCTACGTCCTTATGGATGGACGACGGCGATATCACGAGCGGGATAAGAATCATCTCGGTGGACCTGCGTATACGGTAATTGTTTCGTCTTTTCTCACACACTCGCGGAGTCGGATACGACACAGATATATTTACAGGCGACTCCGTCGTTCACGCACACGTAAACTTTTCGTACTCGCGCAGAATCACACATTCTCTCCCATCTCTTCTCGCTAGAAATATATCTTACACGAATCATCTAATTTATTTTTACGTGTGTCGGGTGTCGTATCGTATTTTACAAGACGCGTATATGCATCAACAGACGACACAAAAGTCCAAGGGATGCCTGAAAGATATCTAGAGAATTTTACGACGTCATTTGAACGCTTGCGTTGTCCGTGTATTCGTGTATTCAGTGTATACAAGTATGTATCTGTGTATGTGCTTCTCTCAGTAAATACAGTATATCGAGCTCCAGCTCGTACCTCGCGCGCGCGTATTCTACTGTATTAATATATCTTCCGTTAAATTTGTTCATTTTTCACGATCACAGTGATTCCAATCTCCAATCCCGTCACTTTGTCCACGAAACCTCGGATTTCCACTTCGAGTTCGATCTTTCGCGCGACCCTCCCGCGACTTTTCCTCTCCTCTTGGTTCCCCCGTCTACACCCAGTTCTATTACATCTCATTCTTTCAGTCCCTCCAAACCATTTTCATCCTAACATTCTCAACGACGCAACGTATGCTTCCTCCGCATCTCTCGCTGTCTGGAATCCTCGATTATATTCCACGAGCGAGGAGAAACTACTCTCGCGTCGGCTTTAATAACCGCTGAGACACCTGAGCTTCTTCAGAGGCGGCGAAGCCTCGTTTCAGCTGGTCGGCGCCTGCATAGACATCGGGGGTGGCTTTACCGGTCCGAGGGCGGGTCCAGACAGACCGTTGTTGTTCATGTCACCCGGCGCCCTCGGTCCGCCGACCCCTATAGCCGTCCCGTTCACCGTTGGCGTGCCGCCTGACATTTGACCCTGAAGTCATAAAAGGTCCGCAAGGCGTGAAACGTCGCTTTCGCGTCGCGAGACATCTTCGCGAGTCTTAATTTGTCAACATCAAGAAAATGAATTAGAAATTATAAGGAAGCAATTTATCGCAATTATATCATGATTATTAAAACTATTATATTTATTAAGATTATTGCAATTAAACAATTGAATGGAAAATAAGATATTTAGATATAATAATTTATCGATTTTTTTTTTTACTTAAGTTTGTATGCGGACTTGTTTTTTGAGCTCGCTTTATCGATCAGACTCGTTCACACAGTTTGTTAACTTACGTTGGGCACATGATTGTGCTGAGCTACCGACTGTCCCAGACCTTGATGAGCCTGGAGCGGATTGTGTCCCGGATGCATGTTCTGACCCGGGGGCGTCGGTGTAGGAGGGAGTTGCCTTTTGATGTATGCTAATGAGGCGGGTGACTGTATCGCCATATTAGCGAACGCTAGCCTCTCCTCGTAATCGTACTCGCAGAGAATCTTGTTCTCGCACAAGTAAAACCGATCGCCCACGCAAAACCTGCAAGCAAAAAAGAGAAACACGCTATGTTGTCGGCCATCGAAATCCGCGCCGATTCACATTTCACAAGTTATCAAGCTTTATCTTCAGGTGTATCAATGATTATAAAACAAACAATTAAAGATAATTATACGAAAAGTTAGAAACTTTTCCCTTGGAATTAACAAAAAGATTGCATATGTCAATTATTCATCGCTCCTGAAAGATTCAAAGGGAGATTCGGAAAGAACATGATTAATAAACAAGGCATGATCTATCTTGTTTGATCTCGTCGTTTCAAATCCGATCGATCCTAATGCCGGATGAAAGAAAAGAAAGAGGAGGCACGGCAAAGAGAGGATGGGACGGGGGGGGGGGCGGCAAGAAGAGGGAAGGGATCGAAAAAGGAGTTTCGCTGGATAACGAGCATATCGTAACGCATCGAACAAATAATTATTATCGGAGCCTCTGTCCGCGAGAACGGCCACGTATCCGCTTTGATCCCGGCTAGGAAATACGAGAGCGAAATACGAGAGCATGGCGGCTGCGGCGGCGGCGCCGCCGCCGCTTTGGGTCTGGCTCGGGTAGATACTCTCATAATCGCACGGCAAATAGAATTATCGCGTTGCTGCGCGTGGCCGTTGCTGGCAGCAAGCGCGCGGCTTATACCGGGGTTTCGCTCGTTTCCCCCATTATACGCGTCGTCTGCTAAATGACGCCACACTCCAATCGGGATACCTATCCTCTCGCTTTCCTCTCCTCTTCTCACACCCTTCTCTCTCTTCCATATATATATATATATATATATCTGTGTGATAGTCCTATTGAATTTTAAATCTAGATTTACCTAATTTATAAATCGCTTTGCATACAGTTAAACGATAAGTAAATACATCACACTATTTGATAAGATATATCGAAAAAAGTTATTTGTTTCATTAAATTGTAATAGACGGTTTTAATTAGTCGAGATTCTCGTTTCCAACAAAGAATAATCACATAAACAGACGCGTTTCACATATCAAATCGCGATATGTCAGAACGAAATAAAAAGCGACGAAGAAGATTTTATAGCGGTGGCAAATTAAACGAATTAATTAAAATAATACTCGTCGTTATCGTTAATTGATATTCTTACGATCTTTTACCATATAAGCGCTATTAAATCGACGAAAGCGTATTTATATTTCACCATTAGTCATTTCCCATTAATCCTCAGGGCGATTCGCGGAACGAAGCGCGGTGGGAGAAAACGAGGGGAGGGGGAGGTGTGAAAAAAAAAAATTAATATCCGGCGGGCAGACTCCAATGTTCGACGGCTTAAACGAAAATAATCCTTGTAACGCTTTGGAATATCTTTTTCGGCCGTCTGGCTAGGGGCAGATATACCGTCGTAATTGCGCGGGCAATAGAATTATCGCGTTGCACGAGCGCAGTCATTCCGGGCCTTCCATTATGCGTGCACGAATAATGCCGCGCAAAGCCCGATCCTTTCCCGCGAAAACGGCGCAAATGTCTGCCGTGAAATGATATCGGCGCGCACGCGGTGTCTCCGTAATTTTCCCCTCCGGGCATTTTTATACGGACGAGCTGTACGTCGCGGCCGGCTTGAAAACCAGCGCGACATCAAGCAACGTCATAACGCCGGTCGGATATTCTATTCGGGTCGAGCGTACTGGATCTAATTGAACGGATCAACCTTGGTTACATATCGACATTATTAAAACAAGTAACGCTGACATGACATTAATTACGATGTCTCTCACAGATGCCTCGTTATATCCCCCCTCCCTCTCTTTGCGAGATTAATTAATAATTATAGACATTTATTTAATTATAACAAAGCAGAAAATGTATTGCAAATTATATAAAAATTATTAGAGAATCGTAGAAATTTACTTGTAATAGTGAAGTAGATAAATTATATAATTAATATATAATAGCAAAATAAAAATGATCGATGTCGCAGAAATAGCAAGGCTTCCATTTTTCGTCGAGCGTCGGAAATATTTTTATCCACCATGTCACGATCGAAATATTAAAATCGCGCCGGGCAAAGGCTCTTTTCACAAAGTTTTAATTCCCATCGTATTAAAGCTCATCGTGTAACGCTCACGCGAGCCAACTCATAAACGCTTAAAATTTGATTTATCTCTTGTGCTGCGCTCATCGCAATGAGAACAAATTCGCCTCCGCCTACAAACGCTTTATTATACAGCGCGAGCGCATCCTGCACGCCCACACCTACGTAATTGGCGCAATTCCGTAAGTGTTTCCATTCAATTTTCTTTTTATTACGTGCCTGCCAGAGCCGCCCCTCCGCCCTCTCTTTCTCCGCGCTGCGTCGTACGCATACCAGCACGCGTCGCTGGGATACATCACGTTGTTTACGGCCCTTCTGACACGTTTCATGGCACCCGGGAGTCCGCGATGCGCTGCAATTTCTTCGTCGTTTAAATGCAAGAGAAGTATCACCGATCGGCAGATAGACGTGTACTTGTCAGCAAAACGGAAAACCTGTGTCAATCTTTCAAATCTGTAAAGTTTCGTCAATCAAAATTCCTGTAGGATACTAGATTTTCATTTTACGTAAATATTGAGCGACATTTCTGTCATAATCTCGCTGTTGACCGCAGTCGCCACGATTGCGATGGTCTTAAATCGATTCCGCACTTAACTGATTGTGAGAAACATCAACTGACTGAGATTGGTGAACTATTTGCGTGGAAGATAGTTGGAGGGAGAGAGGAGGGAGCGGATAAAAGTCGCGCAACAGGATGACTCTTGGGTCTGCATGGAAAATTTCAATCTGGATAGCGCTCAGAAAACTCGGTTGAATCTTTAACGAGGGTAGCCCCGGCTGCAGGACAATGTGCGACAGGGAGAAATCGAGCGACGCGGAGGAAAGAGAGGGGATACGGTGCCGACACGAGGAAACGGAAGCGAAAGCGAGGACAACGTCCGGCGCGATGCGACGAGACGAGGTGCAAAGACGGAAAGGAGCCACTGCATTCAATAAATGATACCGTCGTGGTGGCAATGCGTGACCCCGTTAGAGAGGCACTTTACGGGCCGCTTCACCGACGCGGCCGTATCCTTCAAAGAGTAATACCGTCTCTCTACGCGAGCTTCGGCGCATCAAAGTTTCAGCGACCCCCGCCATCGTTGCGCGTTTCGGTGCCCGGGACACGGTACGCCAGTTTCTCAGATAAATTCTTTATTCGACGCACCTCCCCCCTTCCCCACGGCGTGAATCTGCGAAAATTGCGGGCCAAGAGTACTATTTGAAGATACATTGGGCGAGCGATCGTGATGTTTTCGAAACGAACAAGCGTGCCATGATATTATCGCACATATTTAAAAAAAAGCACGCATTTGATGTGTGATATTATATATTATGCAATTAAGATAATGCTAATAATAATATTTTGTATTATAATATTTCGAAGCAATCTCATCTATGAATAATAAATTTCACGTCGCTTGTAATTTCGCCGAGAGCTTCGATTCTACGGGATATCAAATCCAAGTCGCAGGGGCGAAAGTTTAATCGAGTAGTCATTATGTTTAACCGGATTCGACGGAAGCAAAGAAATCGTGGGGAGAGTAGATACGCGCTTGCGCTAGGGTGCATACACGGAGTGGTATATATTCGTGTATATATTTGTGTGCATCGAGGGCGAGAGAAAGAGAAAAAGGGAGAAAGGCAGACGAACGAGCGAGAGAGAAAGAGAAAGAGCTAATTGCATCGGTAAATCATCCTCTAACCGGGAGGGTAGAGGGAACCTAGTCGCCGCCACTGGCACAACCCTTTATTCTGTGTTATTACAGTCTAAAGTTACCCCGTGTAATTGTTGCTGTTTAATTGCAAACTCTAAGTCGCCTCGTTACAGGACGCGCAGCGCTGCGAGTAATTGCCCTCTTCAAATTTACCTACCTGCTTTTTAGCGGCACGATCGCAGGCGGCAGGGTGGAGGGGGAGGAATATTCGCGCACCGAATATTCCGCATCAAGCATATTTTATCGCGAGCGCGCGCTTTAATTGCGCCCGTGCATCATCCACGACACGCAACGCAATTGTTACAACAAATATAACGACTGAACCGAGTGCAACCGTCTCAATTTGCTTCTTCGCGATTCGTTTCCATCCTCGCGACGACTCTCACTCGCGTCTTCAAACGCGATTTTTTCCAAAAAGACCGACGACATTAACCCTCCTGTTCGGATTCGATTTTGATTCTGACGCGCGACACGTCCACTCATCCTCCGCGTCACCCATCCTCCCCCGCTTTCACCGCGAGTCGCGCGAGCGAGGCGCATTGTCGAAGATAGACAATACCGGACGATAAAAACGTAAAATTGATGCTCTTTTGTTCACATTGTTTGAGATGTTGTGCAACGTTTGCCGCACGCCTGGACGAGCCATTGCTATTGGCTTGAAACTACATCCTTCTTCGGTTCCCTATCATATCCATTCCCCCGTCCTCTTGCTACCCTCCGCCGATAGAGCGACTACCACCGACTCTATCTCCTGAACGTTGTTACCCCCGAAACGAGTCACTTCGCTCGTAAGCCAGCATTGTATCGCTACAACGGTTTTGTGCTCTCGTTTGTACGTTTTCCGCTATTGAATCGAGACAGGAGCCGATGCCACTCTGTCGTTGTCACATATTGTTTACTACACGTCGTCCCGCGGCCCGAGGATAATTAAAACGATCGAAGAAAAGAATAACGGATAATAACGCGTGGCTTTGGTAGACAGAGATCTTATTTACTACATCAATTTCATATCTTATATAACATATATAACAATTCGCGATAA